ACGAGCATATTCGAAAAGGCCTAGATGTGAACCCAGCCAGTGTGTTAGCGGTTTACTTATTTTATTATTTTCATTAGGGTTAGTTTATAGCACATTAAATTTGTTGTCATTTGTTGTATACTGTCACAATTCACATGTGTTTTATATTTGATTTTTATGACTTTATGCCCAGGTAGACACAGACAAGGAGATCACATACAGATAAAGATGCTGCAAGTTGCATGTAAGTGCTGTATGCTTTCTATTGTTAAGTAAAGCTGCATCGTGTTAACAAATAAGAAACTCTGATCCTTTCACATGAAGTATGTCATTTTATAGTAACCAAAGCAAAGAAATCAACTAGTTATGCTGCAATGCAACTATTCAAAATATTTTTTTGAAACTCTCAGGCAAGAAGTACCTGCCTGGCTTTAAGAGAAGGTGATTTTCTTGAAAAACTAAAAGTAAAATACTTTGCAATGGCTTATGATTATTGAAATGTATATTGTTACTGTTACTGCAGTAGAACACTGTGGCAAAGCAAGAGGCAAAGGTCATAGTCGTACAGTGTGTAAATGGTAGATAACATGTATCTACAAAGAGCCAAGGCCGGAAATTGTCCTTACGCAGGGAAAACAACAAAAAGTAGCACATTTGAAGAAAGAAGTAGAGTATAATGGAATATGAGCTTGAAATGTGCACAGAAAAATACAGTTGTTAAAGAACAAGTCAAACCAGTTTGAGGAAAGGCATCCATCAAAAGGAACACACAACATATCTATGTTTTTACTTTATAATGCACAGAGAATCAAAGTCCATGACCATGGCATCAGGTAAATAGTTTTCCGTCTTTTTCCTTACATTTCTTCTGTGCCTGATTCCATACTTATGATCCTTTTTCATTTGGTAGTAGAAATCTATGTTGTCTTAATGGAAGCATATTGTATCTAACTGCTAAGTCTGTAAACAAATAGGTGGGAGGGAAATGTCAAGCTATAGCACATGCTATTGCATAATCTAATTTTTCTCTTGATTTTGATTATGTTACATTACATGTTTGAAATCATTACATTACAGGTTTGAAATCAGTCTGTTTTTGCTCTTCTATGTCTCGTTTAACCCTTGTAACCCTTTAACACTTTCGATGTATACGGCATAGGTCGGAACACAACCGCTTGAAGCTGGCCACATCAGTATGCCATACGCCGGTGGCTTTTCCCCTTCTGCTACAAGTTCATGGCCGCTTTAGTGATGGTCCCCTGTAAAAGAGCTATTAATTAAAATTCATTAAAATTCCGGGCGCCGACCCCCCCCC